CGGCTCCTCGCGGCGCCCCCCCGCCCGCCCCGCCCGCCTCTCCCGGCTGCTCCGCTCCTCCGGCCGCCGCGGGACCGAGCGGCATCCAGGCCGCGGTGCTACCCACCGTGAAACGGGACCGGCGGTCGCACGGTCCGAGCCAATCGGCCGCGGACAGGCTGCGCGCAGCCAATCCTCGGCGCTCGGAGGCGGGGCGGCGCGTTAGGGTGTGCCCGCCGTCCCCACGACGCGCTCATCCACCTGGGCTCCGCCGCCCGGCGCGCGGGGGACGCGGGGTCGCGGGAACGGCTCGGTGGTGAGGGAGGCCAAGGACACCGGGGAGACGGCTGTCGAGAGGACCCTAGCGGCGTGGGGACGCTGCGGGCGGGTGCGGCGGAGTAGGGGCGTGGGGCGCTGCGGGGAGCGGGCTGTGAGGCTGCGGAAACCTGGGGGAGGACGAGCGCGCAGGGGAGTCTTGTGCGCAGAAGGGGAAGCTCGGCTTAGCTCTTGGTGTCACTTGAACCCGGCTGAGAGGTGCTCTTGCTCAGCTGTGATGGAGGACAGGTGGGTGGAAGGTTGGTTCTGTGCAGACTGTTCGGTTGCCCACTCCATTTCCATTCTTGCTGGGTGTTTCAGCCCTCTGCACCCCGCTAATTCCAACCACTCTCACCTGGCCAGCAGCCCTTTCTCTCCTCTCTCCTAGGTTCTGGCCTGGTCACCACTCCACCTCACTACTGTAGCAGACTTCGCAGGTCGGGAATGTGGACAAGACACTTGGATTATCTCCCTCCATGATGTGATGGCCACGAGTGGAAGATGGTATTGGAGTGTGGTGGAATCATCTAGAGACTTCTGCACCCTAGAGCCTTAGCGCCCCAGTGGGGGGTGACCTCCAACTCAGCAAAGGTGGAGCCACCGCACACCACGTACCTCATAGGCAACCCACCTTCACCTGGTGCTGAGACTATTCTACGAGGTTGCTTTTGCCTTCCTGTTTTAAGATTGCCTCACCCCCACTCTGTTCCCCTCAGGACATGCAATGGAATTGGCCACATTTTGCACTTTATGCCCTGCAAACGGTTTGCATTTGTAAGATGTACATCAAAGTGTGCATACCTTAAACACAGTGTTCTATTCTCCCTTCTCACAGTCGTTCAGTGTGCTGGATAGCATCAGCTGTCAACTTGACACACTTGGGAAGAGGGACCCTCAGTTAATTGTCATCATTGGATTGGCCGGTGGCCAAGTCTGTGAGGCATTTTCTTAATTGCTAATTGATGTGAGAGGGCCCAGCTCATTGTGGGCAGTGCTACCACTGGCAGGTGATCCTAAGTTGTATAAGAAAGCAGGCTGAGCACAGGCCAGATGAGCAAGCCAGTAAGCAGCACTCCTTCATGGTCTCTGCTTCAGCTCCTGCCTCCAGGTTCCTTCCTGCCTTGAGTTCCCGCCCTGGCTTCTCTTTGGTGCTGAACTATCATTGGGACATGTGAGCCAAATAGACTCTTTCCTCCAAAAGTTGGTTTTGGTCAGTGTTTTATCACAATAAAAAACCAAATTAGGACATTCAGCTGAGACATTACCTAGTATCTTTACGGCTGGAACTTGAAGGTACAGTAGTGAACAAGACAATAGTTTCTGCTTTCAGAGAATTTATTTTACTGGGCAGAGACAGAAAGTAAGCAGTGTTTTTTACAAAGCAAATACTGGAAAGCAAGCACCTGGAGGCAAGTATTTGGGACCCTTCTTGCGTCCCTAGCTAGGGAATTTCCTTTGTTCACCTGGAAACCAGCAAGTGGGGTAAAGGTGACAGGCAGAGCAGTTTGGAAGGAAACTTGGAATCAGCTGGACAGCTGTTTCACTTGCCATCACATCTGGATGTGACAGCTGTCTAACCCCACCATGGAGGGAAGGGTTCCACCCTAACCAAGGTGGCAACAGGACAACCCCTCCTCATAGAAGCATGAGTGGACATTTAAGAAATATTTTGTTTATGTGTGATGTAAGTGTACCTGTGTTGTACAGTGCCCGAAAAGCCAGAAGAGGGCATCAGATCCTCTGAAACTGGAGTTACTGGTGGTTATTGGCTGGGAACCAAACCCTTTAATCCCAACACTCGGGAGGCAGAGGCAGGCAGATCTCTGTGAGTTCAAGGCCAGCCTGGTCTACATAGTAAGTTCCAGACCACAGTAAGTTCCAGGGCTAGGGAGATCCTGTCTCAAAAAGACCAAAAAACCAAAACAAAACCCACAAAACTTTATTTATGCCTTTAACTGTAACACTCAGGAGGCAGAGGCAGGGGTGTGTGTGTATGAATTTGAGGCCAGCCTGGACTACATAGAGAGTTCTAGGCCAGCCAGGGCTATGTTGTAAGACCTCCCCCCCCAAAAAAAACATCCCTGCCAAAAAAAAAAAAAAGCAAAACTATATTGTAGGGGCTGAATAGATGGCTCAGTGGTTAAAAGGACGGACTGCTCTTTCAGAGGACCCTGGTTTGGTTCTAGCACACACATGGTGGCTAACAACAGTCTGTTACTCCAGTTCCAGGGGATCTGATGCCCTCTTCTGGCCTCTGTGGGCATTGCTCTCATGGGTGTACTTAACACATAGGCAGGCAAAACACTCATACAGATAAAAAGAAATTTAAAAAATTAAAAACTGTGTTTAACCAAAGCAAAACTGTGGTTCTTTCTAGAATGGTACTGTTATTCTTACCAAAACAGGCTGTGTCTCCCAAGGAACCTGAACAAAAGTTTTACGGCTACCTTTGGGTGATACTCATTCTTGTAGCCGAGTCACACTTACTGAAGTTGTTTGAGAGGTAAATGATTTGAACAGAAACATATTAACCATTGTGAACACATGCTGTGTTAAATGGTAGAAGAACGGAAGAGGGGAAAGAGGCAAAGGAATTGGTCACCAGAAGATAAGGGAGAGGCACTCTTTTAGCCACAGGGGTGTCCATGGCACTGGCACCTACTTTCTTTGATGAAGCATTCTGATACCTTTGCCCTTGGAAAAGGTCGAGGCTCTTCATCTAGTGTGGGGAGAACATACACCTGTATTCCCAGAAGGTCTGTGCTGTTAGTAGTTTTGTTTGTATGGGAAGAATCTAGTCTTCTGTAGTCCAGGATGGAGGGGGTTGGTACCGTTTTCTGCTGCTGGTAACTGGGCACTCAGGTGTGGCCAAAGCTGAACCAGCCCTGGTGAGTGGAAGACCAGGTTGTGAGGTCATACCTAACCTGTGCTCACGCTGCTGTGGCACTTGATCTTCCTGAGAAGAACAGTGTGCTGGGAAGGAAGTGATAATGTGCACAAATGAGACTGTTTGCCCTCCTGGTTCTTAAGGTTTTCTCTACCGAGGTGGCACCTGGGTAAGTATTCACATAGGAGAGATTCTTTGCACACCGTGAATCTAAATATGCCACCAGTGAGGCCGAATCTCCTGATCATTGGCTTTCGGTATACCATACCCCTTCTGAGTGCTTAGCCACCCAGCTGTACAGGCTGTCCGTGCCGGCACAGGTCCGTGTCTCTTTCTTTCATCCTTCCAGGCAAAATGAGATGCCAGGTACAATGCAAGCTGCTCTGCTCACTCTGAGGACTTGCTACCATCTCTGTCACACAGGCCCTGTGGAAGTTGTTGTGATGCAGCTCTGTACTTCTGGATGACATCACTGTAATACACAGGGTCACCTGTAGCTAGGCCTCAGCTTTTTCTTTTTCAGTCTGGCCATGGGGATCTCCCCATGGAGGCACTCTGAAGCTAGTGTATAGCTTCAGAGGGAACTGGCAATGTGGCAGGGGTGACTGTGCTCACACACGACCCGCTTCTTTAAGTGGCCTACTCAGACCTATAGGACTTTCTCAAGCAAGGAACATACATTCCATTTCATTGATACTGCTGTGGGTTAGTGGGTTAGGATTTAGTGGGTTAGATATTCAAACAGTGGCCCAGGAATGAGTGTTCAGTCAGTGACTAGGGCACTGGTTAGAGCCACGATAGTTCCCTTCAGATGAGGGCAGCACTTTTGCCGAAGTTTACACAGTGATCATCTGGAGGGTGAGTCAGGAACTCCATCAGATCCACTGGTTCGGTTTGTTGGCAGCCTGGACCTATTGTAGAGCTCTTTCTTTCCTTTCTTCTTTCTTTCCTCCTTTCCTTAATTTCTTAAATTTTTTTTTTATTGCTGGGCATGGTGGCGCTCTGTAGTGTGTATTGCTGTGTGGTGACACAGAGAGAGGGAGGCAGATCTCTGTGAGTTTGAGGCCAGCCTGGTCTCCATAGCAAATCTAGGCCAGCTGGGGCTACAGGGAGACCCTGTCTCAAAAGGACAAAACAATTTTAAAAAATTATGTTTTTTATGTGCATGAATGTTTTGCCTGCACATATGTATGTGGAACATGTAAGTGCAGTGCCCATGGAGGCCAGAAGAGGGTGGAAGATTCCCCTGGAACTGGAGTTCCAGATGGTTGTGAGCCATCATGTGGGTGATGAAAGTCAAACATGGGTCCTCTGCAAAAGCAGCAAGTGCTTTTAACTACTGAGCCATCTCTCCAGTCCCTGCAGAGCCTTCTCTTGTTTTGGGTTGTTCAGTTAAAGGGTTGCAGTAGCACCCCCAAATGAAGTAGGTTAAAAACAATCTCTCAAATAACAGGAATGTACTGGGCATCTTGTCAGTCTTATGCATGAAGGGACTGGGTGCTGGATCTTGGGATTCTGAGATTCCAGAGATGGAAGTAGTGGGCTCTGTGTGATCCAGTCTTCAGCACATGAATCCTACTAAGATGGTAAAGGTGGTTGCTATTT